CCATTATGCCAGCGCTGAAAAAGTAAGCGAGGAGGTAATAGCTCTTCGTTTTTATTTTTCTTTGTTTTCGACATTTGTGTTCGACATATGCAATTTCGGGGTTGAAATTATAAAAGAATGAAGAAGAAAAGCATATGAGTTAAGAATTTCTTGTTTTGCCTACATTGTATACATTTAGTCTGCTTTTGATTTTAGTGAAGTGCGAACAGTGAACAATTTTTAATTTTTAAAATCAAATAAAAAACAAAAATATAAATAAAATATAATTTGTAATTTCACATAAACTCACTGTAAGTATATGCAAAATTAAGTAAATATATTTAAAATGATAATTGAAATTTTTGTTTTGTATTATGTACATGCTACTGCGTCAAGAACGAGTCATTCTAAAGCAAGGGGTAAAATGTAGTCAGCTGATTCAATTGGAAAATTTTACAATTCAAACTGAGGAGGACTTAATTCAATTTAATGAAGAAATCACTGCCGTTGAAGTAGTTGTAAGTTAAATTATATACGTTTCTTACTTTCAATTTCAACTTATTAATATATTCACATGTAACAATTTTACTAATTCATACATTTCTTTTCATCTATTACGTTATTTATAGACTGCATCAATGAGACGCGTTATTAAAAAACAATCAATTACGCGAAAAATTTCCTGGAATTTTGGAGAATGGTACCCAAGGCAAGAAGTTCTTAAGAGCATTAGAGAATGTGACAGCAGCACTTTTTGGTATGGTATATTGTACATAATTAACTTTTGCGTAAACAATAACATACTTTTGTATTTACAGATGCTTTAAGTACAGATGGTAAGCCGGAACAAGTGATCGAGTTGAGTCTGGAAATCTCTTCAAGGTTTTAGTAACAGTATGTTATATTTTTTTATGTAAATATTAATATTTTAATTGTATAAAACATAAATATAAAATATAATTTATCCAAAAAATTTATAGTATTTTATTTAAAAATCAATAGCATAGGTAAAATTGAAAATTTAAGCGAACATATCAGCGCTGATATGTTGCATTACAAATTCGAAAAAGTAAGCTAACATGTCAGCGCTATATTTGCATTACAAATTCGAAAAAGTAAGCGAGCATGTCAGCGCTGAAATGTTGCATTACAAATTTGAAAAGGTAATCGAAGGATTCAGCGCTTGCCCGCAATGACATGCACGTGTTAAAGTAATTAGGAGTTTCATTTGAATAATCAGCGCTAGGCATTACCATTCAGCGCTGAGGGAATCGATTCCCTCAGCGCTGAAAGTCCCGCTGGGTATGGTCGCAGTAGTAGTAGTAGTAGTAACTCCAAATGAATAAATGCCAAACGGCGATTTATTTTTTTCTGCTAATGGTTTACTTCTGGTAAAGGTCACTCTGACTGCTTAAATACACGCCTGTGTGCTTGCGTTGGTCCACGTAAAGTGAAAAATTAATAGCAATTTATTTTGCATAATACATGTACGCAAGTGAGACTACCAAAAAACAAAATAATAACAAAAACACAAACACAAAAAAATCATTAAATACATAAAACAAACAAAATGAAGGGCACACTTGTTTTTACTTTTACGTACCGTATATATACGTATATAAAAATTAATGCAATTAAAACGAACAAATTAAAAAAGTTGAAATTTATGACGCTTAAAGTTTTTATTTTAAATTACATTGCTTTTAAAACTTTTTGCATATTAAATTAAAATTATTAGTTACATATGTGGAGGCTTATAAAATATGTTTGATTTATAATTTTTCAAAATTATCTACTTAAACTTATAATTACTATCTATATACTTTTAATAATAATTGCTTCAAGTTAATTTTGAAACTAACTATTCTTCACTAATTTACTAACACTCCTACTAACAATTAATGAGGTCAGTAAAATATGATCACATATTTGTATCGTATATATATCCTAGTAAGCAGATATTTGTCCAACCCTTCAGTTATTGATTGTTATTATATTAATTATAAAAAACTGTATTTAACAAAACTTAATTTATACTCCTAAAACTGTTGTCACACACACACTTCCCCATTTGAAGTTATGCTTCGCCGCGAAACTGCTTTTTCCTCCAATTCCATCTTATTACTCTATTAACATACATGTTTATTGTGGATGACCGATGACTGACATCTAATTTCAGACCATAAGTCGTTTTCTTTTTATATTTAATTATAAATTAAATATAAAAAATGAAATAATGTTATAAAAAGCAAGTTCTTTTGTTAAATAAAAAAACTACAACTACTTACATATAATATGTATTATATGTTCCGCTAAGATCAGTTAGTTCTGTCTAAAACATGTTTTGATGGCATTTCACAGTAAAGACTGCAGATTTCTTCAATATATTAGCGATAGTATAATATTTTTTATTAGTTTTGATGCAAATAAAAAAATACAAAATTTTATATTAATTTTGGTTATTTTTTCCCTCTTTACTTAACCCTCTTCTTACATTTTATTATTTTTTTATTCGGCTAATGTAATACGTATGACTCTCAAAATCAATTCATTAAATAATTTACATAGGAATGCATGAGTATGTGTATGTTTTCTATGTTACACATAAGAACTCAAGTAAAGTGTGTGTTCACAACTTAATAATACTTATATTATTTTAATACATTGCTTCACATAAAACGTGTTGCTAAATGTATGCTAATTTGTAGTCCTAATGTACGCTCCCCAACCTTGTTATTTGCTTTTTAAGTTTGTTGTTAAGTTATTCTCCTCCAGCTCAATTGGAGCAGTAACTATTATTACTCTCAGTTGTTTTTGTTTTTTTTTTTGAAGATTTTTGACTTTTTAGTAGCCTACATTTATTTATTCCTTTACACTCGTATTCGTCTCTATTTACTTACAAGAAATCTAAGCGTCCCATATGGCTCCCATGCCATAAATGTCCTTTTATGTAGTCAACTTCATTGTTTTGTTCCTTACGGAGGTAATTCTTATTATTTTATATGGATTTTATGTATTTTTCATGTTTATTCACAAATAGCACAAATACAAAATATTTGGTTTTTTTTTCAAAAATACAAATTTTTTTTTTTATGTTCTTGTCATGTGACGTCAATGTGAACTACTGTTCTTCTTCTTCTTCTTCTTCTTGAGTTAGTGCTATTACGCACTTTTACTCTATAATGGCTGGGGGGTTTATCACTACCCCACACTAGGCTTTAACTAGGCTAAAAAATCATATCATTTATTTGTCTTTTAATTGATGACGGACCTTAAATCAGCATATCTTCCTGAGAGTCCAGAAGTGGACTTGAGGATTGTTATGGCAGGGTTAAGTAGCGTATCAACTTTAGTGAATAATTTCAAAGCTCTGTCTCTGATATATTTTTTCACTGAGTCAATCCTAAGATCTCTATGTATGTCCGTTGATCTAATGTACCATGGAATCTTAAACAGTTTTCTTAAGGCCAGGTTTTGAGCTATCTGTAATTGCTTTAAGGTGGTATTTGAGGCTTTGCTATATGTAACACATCCGTACAGAAGTGCAGGTCTAATTACTTGCGTATAAAGTAACTTTCTGTTTTTAAAGTTGAAGTGATAATTATTAAATAGCGGCTTTAATAAATGTAGAATCTTAGAGCAGCTATTCCGTTTGTATTTCAAATTTTTAAGCCAATTGAACCGTTTGTCAAAAGTGACCCCCAGATATTTTATGTTATCCTCCCACCGTATCTCCGTGTCGCAAACGCTCACTCTTGGAGGATGCTGTCTTCTTTTTCGAGTTATAAATATAGCCTTGGTTTTGTCATTATTAATTTTAATCTTCCATTTTTGGAAGTATTCCACCATAAGGTCTATATTTCCCTGTAACGTGTTGCTTACATTTATGGCATCCCGATCCGAGTAGATCAAGCATGTGTCGTCTGCGTAAAGCGCCATTGATGTGAACTACTGTTACAATACAATGTTTGTAATTTTAGTTTCCATTGTTGTGTTGTTTGTGCAGCACATTGTAGATAAAGCAGTAAATTACGATAAACTACAGACGTATTTGAATTCCATATTAGCCCCCATACGAACTTTGAATCGTTAAGAAACTATATATTTCCGAACTACTACGCACACCTTTGGCAAATTAAACATAAACCATTTTCTTTGAAGATTTTTAACAAATTTTTTTGTTGAGTTTATAAACAAATTAATTTGATTTGTCACCGAGAATTGTTCTGCACAATTTGTTGCTGCTGACAGTGTCGCTCTGCTCTATAAAAAAATCCATTTTTCTATCAAGTCAATTGTGTCCGCCTCGTTTTGTGGGGGTTTCATTTAAAATTTTTTTTTAATTATAAAAAATTAATAAATATTTAAAATGAATTTTCTTATTCAAAAATATTTATTTTTTACTTATTTTATATATTCTCCATTTGCTTGCCTCACTTCCTATTAAATTCCTTTCCACGTGAATTATTTACCATAATTTTAAGTAAAGTCCCTTGTCGAATTGCTTGTTCCATTAATTCGCCATGTAAGGCTAACTCTGGCTAAAAATATTAATTTCTTTCATTTAATATATGTACATATACATAACATATATTCCTATACATATCTCATATATAAATGTTGATGAACTCAAACCAACAATAACAACAAATACAATATTAATAATAATTTGAATTTGTAACCAAAACCAAAAAATTTACTAATAAAATAAAAAATTTTATTTCTTTCATTTAATTAATTTAAAAATAACATTTTACTGGGTACATTCGCTGAAAACGCTTGAGTTGTCGGTGATAACCTTTTGCGGTCCCGAATTCCTCTAATATTTCGCTGCTTTGATTCGCTACGAATTCTTCAACCTCAAAGCAAAGGTACAAAAACATCTTCTAACCAAGAAAGTGTGAATTCATTCATTTTATTTTAATCAGATTATAATTATAATTAAAATGAAAATAAAAATTAATGTGATTAGTGTACGGCAGTACGACAACTACGACAAGTACGCAAGTCCGTTTTACTCGAATGGGTATTCTAACTCAGCTTAATTGGTGTTAAATGAAAATGATTCGAATAGTCCGAAAGACCGTCGCGATAAGGTCCCCGAAATTAGGTCGTCCGAACGACAGAAATGAGACAGAAATGTGCGCAGTCTTGCTGTGATTATTTAACAATATTAATTATTTTATTCTATTTTTTATATCTGTGAACGTAGTGCTTGTATATTTATTTGTTTTATATTCTCGATTTCATTATTTTAAACGTATTTATGTATTGTTTTATTTATTTTTCAAATTTAACATTTTCATTTGCGTAATTTCAGAATAATTCTTTTTACGAGTACGACATTTTTTGCATATTTTTATGATTAAGAATTTATTACTTTTGTCAAAATAAACATATTTTTTTCATTTAATACTAAAGTGAACAAAAAATCAGGTCAATTAGACGCTACAGTCTTCTGTCAAAACGCTATGAAATAATGAGTGAAGCGCCATCTCTATACACATCGGAAGTTAAGTCAAATTTTAAATGACCACTGTAATTCCGTACGATAAAGTTGATATTCTACAAACAGAAGAAAAGTTCCATTTATATATATATATATATAGTTTCTTTTATACTATACACTAATATATTTAAACGCAGCCCACCTTATAAATATGAATTTCACGTAACTACCTATCTGCTCAAGTATTCTTACGTTATAAACCGTAAACGCGTTTTTGGTTTATATTATGTAGCCACATAATCTAAAATATTATGTATGTTGTCCAGCAGCAATCTGAATTTTGGACAGTTTTGTCGTTTCACATTTATTAGACTAAAAAATAAAAATCAAAATGTTATTAATTTTTTTACTGTATTTCGATCCACTATAGTGAATAGTCGTTATGAAATGAATTACAGAAACATTGATTACGATATCATTATATACAATACTATTATGCTTTTTCAACACAGGAAATAATATTTTAAGAGTTCTCTAAGCTACATTGTGCGGGAGTATCACTCATAATAGTATTGGAATTTTTTTAAATTTGAAGAAGGAAAAAATTATGAAAATATCATTTATTTTTTCCTCCAAGAGTAAGAAAAGCTACGTTATAATATATATTATAACAAATTTATTTATTACTAGTAGATTTTCTCTAGGCAAAACTTTATAACTCTGAAAAACTTCGTAGTCATTTCTCATCTACATGATAAGCATGGGAATATGATTCCCTATAAATATATATTACATACATAGGTATATATGTTTATATTATTACCAGATGTAGGGCGCACGTCGATAGCAGCACAACAGGTGCGCTGATATTTTCCTACTTCGATATAATTATTCTTTTTATTTTTTATTTTTTCAAAATACCTTGACGTGACAGAACAGAACACAATTTAACGTCTTTGCTGCTAGCTTCCACTTCTACAAAATTTATTTTCTGTTCACAGAGACAACTTATAAGCATTAAAAGAATTAGATAAAATTTCCGAAAAATTTTCATAAAAAATCGAAGCGGCCCATGCCGAATTAAGAATTGAAAGACTGAAAGCGCGGTGGCAGCGGTAACATTTATGGACCCAGTTACGTATATATTACTACAACAAATTTCTGTCAAGCAAACAAACTTAATATGTATGTGATTTTCTGTATTCCTTTTCGTTTTTTTTTTTTTTTTTAAAATTCAAAATTAACTTAAAAATTAGCTGTACCATTTAAATAACAAGCGAAAATTCATAAATAATATACCCGCGTATCACAAAGATCAACTAAGCAATACTAAAGCAACCGCAAGCACACGCCCCATTTAAAGACAATTGCTTGAAGCGCCCACCTACGATGCGTGGTACAAGACTATTCCAATTTTTTTAGTGAATCTTTTCAAGATCTTCCTTCTTTCCGACTTTGCTTAGTTTTTTACTCTACTGTAAAAATTATGGCAACTGCCGTGTAGCGTGAAGATGGGCAACTATTGTGGCAACTATTTTGTTAAAGACGTTGTATGTGTCAAAGACAATTAAATCAAGAATTCTGTGATAATTTCTCTCTGTGTAGTGTGTAGTGTTTAGTTACGTGAGTGCTGATTATGTGTGAGGCGCAGATATTAAAATAATGTGTACATATGTACATATTCTGGCATGTGCATTATTGATCGGATAAGTGCTTACTTAGCTCGATTGTTTATTTAAATAAGATTTATCTATACAATTATAAAAACACCGCTTTCGTAAACGGTTTTATACAAGCATATAGCAAAAAAAAGTATTTCTCAAATAAACCAAAACATTGACTTTGAAATATCGAAATATGAATTCCGAATTTGCAATCTTGTTATCTTATTTTCACATTCTACTTTTTATAAAACTAACTAAATCGCCCTCAGCAATTTTACCCTGATATCTGATAATGAAAACTGTGAACTACTAAGTGAACTACAAATACAGAGGCTGAAATAAATTAATAAAGAAACAATTAGATTAATTGTCCACATATAATTCATTTACCACATGTTGCTGGCAGAGTTATTTTTCGGTTCTTCTTCACTAATGTTTGCGGCATGCCTCGTTAAAAGTAAACAAGAAACACTCACACACACAAATATATATGTATGTGCGGTTCTCCATTTTTTCTTCTTTTTTTGCTTGTACGATGCGATCATGACTCAAATGCCAGGTTTCATACATTTAGTTTTCCCCGTTTTGTTGTTGTTATTGTTATTATTGTCGTTACTGCTGCTATTGCGACTTTGGGCAGTAAAGGTAGAACTGACAATTGAACGTTTCCGGTCGTGAAGAACGTCTCTGGTAACTAAATTTTTAAAAGCGTGTGACTCAACTTATATACATATATATATATGTATATATGTATAAAAAAGTGAAACGAGAAAAACAGGAAATACGCCTACTTTTAAGTGAATAAAATTAATATTAAGAAACAATACCTTCAGATTAAATTAACTAATGCACATACTACTGATACTTTGAAACAGAATAAAGACGAAAATAATAACAAACTAACAATCGTAAAATATGTATGTGTAAGATTAAAAAGATTAAAGATTAAAACAAAATGAAATTGATTCTAATAAAGATTTCTCATACCAAGGATATTTTTACTTTGTAAAAATATGAAAAGTGAAAACAAAATCGAGATGAAATACTAATAATTTTAACATAAATAAATAATCATGTATAATAATACTAAAATTAAATTTATCACTTATGTATAAATTAGAACAATCATTTATTGTTGTGCAGTACAATTTTTTTTGTTTTGTATTGCAATTGATGTTCATACAAGGTAGGCGTATTTTATACATTCTCTTGCGCTTGTATAAATGCAGTAAAAGATGGCGTATACACAGGTAACTGGTTTAAGTTAGTCAAAACAATGCTTCAAGCTGGTAAGATAAAACCTGTTATTCTCAACTGGCCAATAAGAAAGCGGCATAACCATAAATGGTTGAAACGTTCCATATATGTGTCAATTGAAAAACTACCTGTTCATATTATAAATTTCCCGTGCGGAAACACAACGGAACCGGAAATGTTTGTTATTGTTTTTTGAATTAATATAAGTTTGACATGCTGTAGAAAAGGCTACGAATAAACAAACATCTGCGCTAACAAGTAAAGCAAAACAAAGGCAGCGGATTGTTGCCTACTCGTCTCAGTCATTCTTGCCTAAGTTGTTTATGTTAGAAATTTTAGAATCTGAATTCGTTCAGTGGTTGAGCTTTGCATATGCCAAGTCGTACGCACGTTGCATGCAGACACAGCATGACTTCAAACGCCACATATTCCATACTAAAACCATAAAAAATAATTGAAATGTTAAACATTTTATTTATTTTGTTTAAATTGTCTTAATAACATTGAATTGTGAGCTTTGGTTGTAAAAGTAAAAATAAATATAACAACAAATTAAAATTTTCTGAAATTAAAGTAAAGTAATTTGGTAAGCATTTTATTTATGCGACACCACATAAGTGAAGTCATCATAATACAGGGTGTGTTTGAATATGTAACAGTGTTCTTAGTTTAAATTTGAAGTAAGATTAACACCAAAAATAAAATTCACAATAATTTATATAGAGTAACATAATAGATCTCAATTACTGTACTCAAATATTAAGTTAATAATAAAGTCGTTTTAATTTCGAAAAAATTTTAGAAGCAATACTGGAGCCCACTCTAAATATCCGCTCTTTTTTATTAATTTTGCAAATAATTTTAGCAAACATTACTAATAAATAAAAGTTTGCATTATTTATTTATCGAAACCAGAAAAATTCAAATCAATGAGGGATTCACTCTGAAAATAAACACAACCAATTAAATATAAACGAGTTTTAATAAACTTGGCGTCGTGGTCGACACAATTTTTCTAAGTGTATTCGTTATGATTGCTGTAAGGTTTTACTGCTCAACGCTCTCTCTGCTCTACAAAAAGAAGTACACAAATAGTTTCTTCCCATTTTTTTTCAACATTAACAAAACATGTGCAAAGTTCATTTTTATTTGTAAAACCGCGAAAAAAAACTAAAATTATATTTCGCAGCGGAGAAGTGCCAACTTCGCTATCAACTTGTCAGCGAACTTCATAATGATGAACAGCCCATGCTGCGTTTAAGCCGAAGTCACCAGCGATTGTTGCTCTGCAGCTGCTAAGTGTATGTAAAATTAAAACTGATCTCATTTCATTGGAAGCTGAAGATGTGACAACAACAACAACAAAACATTATCATCAACAATGAAACTGCCGTGTTCGCTTGAAATCGTGTGATTCACTCCACTCATTGCATTAATTGAAGGCAGCAACTTGACCCGACTATTTACAGTTAAAATGAAAACAATTAGATATACACACCCAT